TGTTGCCAGGAGGGACGGGTCCTTGGAGAGGGACATCATGCTTGGGAGGGTGGAAGGACAGCACAGGAGGGGAAGACCCTCTATGAGATGGATTGATTCGGTGACTGGGGTAATCGGGATGGGTGTGTCAGAGGCGGTGCGGTAGGCGCAGGACAGAGCAGGGTTTAGGGCTGTTGTGCATAGGGTCGCTATGAGTCGGAAACGACTCGACGGCACATAACAACAACAACACCATTGTTGTCAGCTACAACTCAGAGCAGGCCTGTGAATAAACAGCCCTGAACCGTGACCTGTCCTGAGCCATCCGCAACGTCTCTGCCCATGAACTTACCTTTCACTGTAGTGCATCTTATGATCATTTACTTTATTGCAAAGCTAATTTCAAAGATGTGCTGTTTTGACACAAGAAAATGAAATCTATTTTTAATATAAAATCTGCAAAGTTCTCCATCTTACAATAGGCGATTGGTAAACTAAGAGTACCACAAACACTCATTCAACCTACACAGCTGACTCCCTGCTTTGCCATTTAAATGTGAACTGAATTTTTTTTTCTCCTCTTTCACTGCTGTTTAAGGGTCCACTTTCATGGCATATTGCCTTCAGTGTGTTCAGACTGACCAATTTTATGCCTTTGCTAGTCTTGAATCTCATAGAGGTAGAAAATATTGCAGTGGTTAGAAGATCAGCTATTTGTTCTTCACTTTCTCTTGCTATTTCTAGATAAGACTTTTATTACTATTAAATCTTAAGGTCAGCCTCTTTCTACCATGAAAGATCTTAATGTTCTCCTGGAAACTGGTCCCTGAATGGCTGCTACATTCAATCCACAGCCAGTGTCTTCGAAAGGAGGCTATCCACACCGTAACATTGGAGAATAATGTGCATAGCAGGGAGTAAAGACAGCATACAATGTTTGACCTGCACTTGTTTGTTTCATCTTTCTTCAGGAGTTTTTGTGGCAGTTCTACAAAATGTGGCCTTTTAAACTTTGGCTATTTAAAATTTGAGAGTAGAGGCAAGGGGAAAGATTGGAAAAGTAGTACTTTTTCACTTAGAAGATAAATGGGTAAGCCCTATTTTACCAGCAACATATATTAATGATAAAAAAAAACCCTCAACCTTGTAAACCTATTTTTGTTTTCTACTAAATCAGTTTTTGTGAAGAGTTATGTCACACACAATTTTTTTTCAATTTTTCTTTGTTTCTGGAATAATAATGGTTTAGATTTCTCCAAGCTTGCCTGTTCATACTTCAATGCATTTTAAAATTATTTTAAGCATTAATTTATAATCGCATTAATATTTATGAGATCATTTCTTCGCTATTATTTTTTTTCTAGTTCCTTCTACACATCGCTGTTGCTATGTGCCATAGGGTATGATGACCTTATGAAGAGAGGTCGGAACCCTGTCCCACCCTTGACGTCTCTGACATACATGAGCCCACTGCTTCAGTCACTGTGTCGATCCACATCGTTGAGAGCCTTTTCTTTCTTTTCCTCGCCTTTCTAAGCATAATGTCGCTTTCCAAGGAACAGCCTCTCCTAACAACACACCTAAAACACGTGAGATGAATCGTCACCACGCACGCCTCTAAGAAGCACTCTGGCTCCTTTTTCCCCCAAACTTTACCTATTTGTTCGCTTGGCAGTCTGTGGGATATCCAGTGCTCTTCTGCAACACCATAACTCAAAGGCATCAAGTATTTTTGTCATCCTTATTTATTATCCACCTGTCAGACACATAACTAGTGATAGACTTCCATACACAGTCTTCGTTGTTTTCTTTTTATTATTTTGAAAATAATTTAAAAGTTCTATTAGAGACTTCTCCAAAGAACAACGATGTCAGTCTGAAGACAAAGGTATGCATGATACAGGCCATGGTCTTTGCAATCACTTGCTATGCGTCAGAGAGCTGGACAGTGACTAGGGGTGTTAGAAGGAGAACTGATGCCTTTGATCTGTGGTGCTGGATATAGATACCACGGACTGCTAGGAGAACAAACAAGTTTGTCCTGGAGAGGGTGAAACTAGGCTGCTCCTTGGAGGCAAGGATTTTGAACCTCCAACTCCCAGACTTTGTACACGTGGCCAGGAGAGACCAGTCATTGGAGATAGACATCATGCTTAGAAGAGTGAAAGGACAGTGCAGGAGAGGAGGCCCCTGGATGACATGGATTGACACAGTAGCTGGGGTAACTGAGGTAGGTGTGTCGGGGACAGTGAGACTGGATGAGGATAGAGCAGAGTTCAGAGCTGCTGTACACAGGGTTGCTCTGAGTCGTAGGCACACGGCACAAAACAACATCAGGTACGGTATTGGGAGCGCGTGCCATCCTTGTGGATAGCGGGTGGTGCTACTGGAAAAGGCAAGTCTTCTTGAGCAGTTCTAGTCCACCAGCAGCTACTTGGGAGAAAGATGAGCATTGCCTTCCGTGCTATTTCCAGTCTCCACTAGCCCACCAGAGAGTTACATATGTGCGGTTCTAAACCCTGGACAATGAGTGAGATGACAGACTACATATCGTGGTACTATGACAGTCCTTACACAAATATTAATAAAATTTGACAGTCTCACTTTGTAGGATTTTTATTTGGTTACTTATATTTGATAATGGAATGTAAAGAAGCATTTGACAAAAACAAACAAAACAACAGCTAATCGCATGTACTGCCTAAAGTTGTTGCTTACTGTCAAGTTGGAACCAACCCATAGCTGACCCTCCAGCGGGTTTTCAGAGGCAGTAAACCCCATGGGAGGAGATGGCCTAACCTTTTCCCTAAGAACAGCTGGCAGATTTAAACCATACACCTTTGGAATTGCAGTGAAGCTTTTTTCCACTAGGCCACCAGAGCTCCCTAGACATAAAGAGTTCTCACAATTGATTTTAAAAATAACTATTCTCTTCCAGTTTTCACAACAATGTCTTATGCAATTTGTGTCCTCTTGTGACCAAGCAGGATCTGTATGGATGTTGGGGTGTTCAGGGAAGGAGGGAGAGGGAGAAGGGGGAGCAGAGAGCGGAGCAAGGAAGGATCCCTGGGATAGCCAAGGCCGGTGAGGAGATGCGGGAAGAAGGAATGGGAGAGATGCAACTGGGACGTAAGGAGACGGAGTGTAAGAGTCATACATCAATGGGAGTCAGTTATAGGAAACAAGGTGTGTGAACTACAGGACAAAATTGAAGGTACATGAATAACACTTAATAATACCTTTTATTTGAGGGTGACTATGTTAAGGTGTCTACAAAAACAGGCAAGAAATATAAAATAGTTGTAGTGGAAGTAAACAAAGTCAAATTTATTTTAAAATGTGTTTGGTACAAATTAATGTGAAAAAAGCAATTTTTTTTCTTTGAAATAGTGTTTAATGCATATTTAAAGTTCTTAGCATTTCACAATTCAAACTAGGGATAGTCGATGTAAACATCCTAATTTTTAAAAATTTTTCTGGCAAAATTGGGAAGGAAAAATGTATATTTAAGAGGATATTTTAAAACTCAAATCCATCATTGCCATGTTGATATCAACTCGTAGCAGCCTCGTAGGGAGGGGTTATCTCTGCTGGCCAGCCTCATAGGGAGGGGTTATCTCTGCTGGCATCTTTACAGAAGAAGATTGCAAGGTCTTTCTCCCTTGGTACCGCTGGATGAATTTGAACATCCGACCTTTCCATTAGCACCAGCAGAGCGCTGACCACTGGGCAACCAGCATTCCTTCTGAGCAGAATATAACACCCTCCCCAAACCCACTGCTGTCGTCATTCTGACTGTAGTGACTTCCCTTCCATCAAGTTTCAGAGGCTGTAAATCTTCATGGAGTAACTGTCCATCTTTCTCCCACTTTGAAGTTGGGTGAGTCTCTCAAACTTTCCATTACTAGCCCAGCATTTACCTATGGCACCACCAGGTTCACAAGTATAGAAACAATCTGAGTTTAAAAAACAATCATTTATAATGATATTCATATAAAGGAAAGTCAGTCTCTAGAATTAATCAATAAGCAGCAAATTTGTTTAACATATATCATTTAAACAAGCAGGATTTACAATATGAGAAATGATATTCTAAGCCTTGTGTGGTGAGATATTGACCCCAAATATTATTGTCCTTTGTGGGGGAAAAAATGTCTTACTCTTTATTTGTGCATGAAAGGAGGAAGAAAAGAATGAAGGAAGCAAATATACTCACACACGCAATATACACGAAACAAATGCCCTAAACAAAAAACAGCTTTCTCCTGCCTCATCAACCTTAAATGCATGACACATTAGAAAGGCCTGCAAGAAAAAAGGGACTTATCTACCCATGTCATACTATTGACACTTAATATTTGGAGTTGTCCCATAAATTTAATTATTTTCTTCCTCTTTAGTTTATCTATGGTGCCCAGAAACCATCGACTTCCTGGAATTTTTATTAAGAATTCCACATTCTTGCCATGTTTTTCAGATACTGTGGCCTCTGCCAATAAATTCTAATAAATTTTCACTTCTTTCCTTTCAATAACATCCTAGAGAATATGATTCAGACTCAAATTAATCACCGATCACATTAATGGCTCCTAGGAGTTTACTTCCAATACCCCTTATTATATTAAATCAAACTTGATAGTGTGCTAGATCCTTGCTCAGCTGGGCTTTCATAAAAGCACTGGTATTTAATAAGATTTATACCTGGCTTTCTGTTAATATCTTTGCTTACTGTGTGCTTTATTTTTAAACTAGACATTCTTCGCAAATGGCACTCCTTTAAAATCCATCATCGTCCTTTTAAAAATAATGTCCAGGAAACATTTAACAGTAAACTCTGTTACTTGTTTTATATTATGATCATGTAATTGCAGACAGAAACAATTTCTTTAATTTACAACCAAAATATTAATAATTTTACCTGTTCTTTAGAAAGAGTGTACATTTTTTATATTTTGCCTATTTGAAGATAAAGTATATGCAAAGTATATTAGGAAACTTAAAGTGTTCTATTTGTTCTAAAGCTTTGCAGCAAAGGGGCGGTTCTGGGAAAGCCCTTTGAATCATCCGCTGAAGACATAGCAAGTGTGGCGAGTTACATAGAGACAAAGCTTGTTACGTGCTATCTACGGATGAGGAAACCAGACCTCGCCTTGAATCACGCACACAGGTAATAGAGAATACTCAAACCCAGAGAAAGGGCTCCTGAGAAACGTACATGGTAAAACACAGAGCCACTGCATCTGGGGCTTAAATGCACCAGAGCATCTTGGAGGAAAGCCGGGTGTTCAAAAGTTCTACTCTAATGCACGTGGAATGTCTGTTAGAATTCCCCTGACAGCAACTGATTTGGATATGGTTGGGTTCAGGTTTGGGGTGTTTTGTTGGTTTTTTTTTTTTTTATTTAAGTGAAACGTTACAAAGCATATTGGTTTTTATTCACTTATTCATAGAACTATTATTTTATAGCATTAATTATAATTTATTAATTGCAAAGTTGAACAAATCTTTAGTTTGCTACCTTACCCTTCACTCAGTTTACTTCTTTTTACTCCCTCCCATTACTTCTCACCCTTGTTATCCCTTTACAATTGATTCTGTATGGAGAGCTTTCTTCCTTTTTTTTAATATTAGTGATGTTATACTATTATTGTTCTTTTGTGCTGACATCTCACTCAGCAGAATTTGTTTTACATTTATCCACGTTGTGCAGTATTTTATGAATTCTTGGTCATCTTTTACGACCGTATCATAGTCCATTTCATTAATGTGCCATGGTTTCACTAGTTATTCATATGATATTAATCATATGAAGCATTCATTCATTACATACTAATCATTCACAGATCTTTAAGGTGTTTCCAATTCTTTGTTATTGTCTCTGATTCTGCAATAAACATGGGTGTCTTTTCGTTAGCTTTTGTCACATTTCTTATTTCTTTGGGATATATACCTGATAGTGGAATTTGGGTATTAAATCATATTTCTTTTTACTGTATTTTTTAATAACCACAAGTATATACTGTCCATGCAAGCAGTGCACTCTTTGGATGGGTAAACTTTCATTTCATTTATGTAAAGGAGCAGCAAGGACAACCAAAAGCCTTTATTTGCCACTCAGTTTATGTCATGAGAGACAACGGTGGAGATGACAGAGAGGAGCTCCAAACGTAATGGAAGGAACAGACCCCAACGCAATTGTCCATAAGCAAGTCAAACAGAAAGGCAGTGGACAGCCCAAGAGCGAAGTGCAGAGGGAATGAGATCGGTCAGGGAGGTGGTACTGCAGGGCGAGGAGGATCGCTGAACTGCAGAATAGCGAGGGACTAGGGGAAGGGCGTTCTGACAGAAGCACAAAGATTGAAACTCAGTGACCTGCTCGATGATGGGGTAATGGATTCACAGAGAGTAAGGTGGGCGTGTGGCTGTGCAAAGGTGGGAAGCACTTGAGTGGTGTCTTTACATTTT